CCCGGGATGGGAAGTGGTCCTGGTCCCGGGATGGGAAGTGGTCCTGGTCCCGGGATGGGAAGTGGCCCTGGTCCCGGGATGGGAAGTGGTCCCAGGTTATCTGCGGACCGGAGACGGTTCTGGCAGCCACGGTGACGTCAAATGACGCGCGACGGCGCAGGGGCCGCTGCACGTTGGAGCGAACAGCGAAGGGAGGCTCGCCTGACCAACACGAGATTCTCATCGGCGAGTCTCGCTACTGAAACTGCGCACGGAAGGTGAGAGTTACGTGAGCTTGGGGTGGAAGCTTGCGTGCAGCTCACAGTCATGTAAGCTCAGCGGCCGGAGCTCACGGAAACGGGGCATTCAAGGGCGCGCGCTGGGCTCGCGGGTTCTGGTCGTCGACAGCGCCGAAGGAAGGAAAGCCTGCCGGTGCTCGATGACCCGGCGTCTGCCGTTAGGGAGGCGGATGGCACTGCTCCGTGGTCTGGGCGTCGAGTGGTCAAAGCTTGTACGACCCTGGTCAGGAAGTAGAGACTAGGCCGGGCGGGGGATAAGCGCCGCTGAGACGCCAAGAGCCCCAGCCTCAGTCAGTGGTAAGAGGACGTCTGCGTGGGCTCGGGAGCGAACAGAGGACGAAGACAGGGAGCCAGACTCGCGCCGATCAGGGGACAGCGGCAGCCCGGGGCGGTGAAACAAGCCCTGCCCTTCACACAAGACACAGCTCGGTGCGCATAAAGAAAACCCCGCTAATGGGGGCCTCAGCGCCGTCAGCCCAGCTTTTATATCACCCCACGTGAGAGTCGAGGGCATGGTATCGCCAACTAAGCATAAAAACAAGGCCGACGAAAGTTGCCTGCGGCGGGAATCAAACCCCGGACATTTCGCCCCGCGTTCCCGTGGTCGGCCGTGCGCCGCTGACCTGCGCGTCTTGGACCAGACGACGAGGCAGGGCAGGTGGAGCGCGGTCACCCAGAGCCAGATCAAGGTCAGCGTGATGCCCGTGTAGGCCTTGAAGGCGGCCGGCGCGCCACCGCCGCTCAGCACCTCCTCGTAACTCTGGAACACCTGCGGCGAACACATCGACACGCTCGTCAATCGCGGCTCGTCACTCTTGATCGAGAATCAGCCTTTTAGAGCCAATTCCACCATGCCTGATGGCGGGGATAATGTTAAGCATACATGACCCCAGTGCACGCGAGGAAGAGGGAGTGTAACCCCTCTCAGACCCCCTCTTCATGTGCTTTCGTAGGACAGTGAGAATGTGAAGAACGTGCCGACAGGCATTACCATTTGGCAGAAAGCTGCCGCGTGTGTGGTATTACATCATCTAAATTCAACATACTACAGTGAAAGTCAGAGTGAACGCCCCATCTACGCTACGCTAAACCCACACCAGCCACAGAGACCAGACGAGGGGGGGGGGGGGGGCGGGCCGCAGCCCCACCCCCGGCCAGTTTACCCCCAGCCTTTTGACCCCTGGCGCAAAATTTTGGGAAAATCCAACCCTAACTCCGACGATACACGGCGAAACCTAGCACAAAGACCGCCCCCGCCCCGTACCCTTGAGTAGCCGCTGCCAGCCGCCGAGACGTACCTTGACGCAGCAGACCAGCAGGCCTATACCGAGGGCGATCTCGCCGCAGGAGGTGTAGGCCAGCGCCGAGAGCGCCGCCGACAGCAGCACCGGGAAGCGGGCGGCGCCGGCCACGGCCAGCTCGGCCACCGCCTCCGAGCCGCCCACCGAGCGCGACAGCAGCCTGACGGCGGCCCGGTCAGACGGTGAGCCGCCGGCGGGACGCACGGACGACGGCGGCGGTCGCCGGGCGCCAGCGCTCTCCGGCCAACAGACCGGGCGTGTCTGTTTCCCGCCTCGCAGCTGCCGGTAAGCGGCGCCTCGCGTACGGCCTAGGCCACGCCGTCCTCGGCTCAGGACGGCTCAGAACGGCTTAGAACGGCGCAGGACGGCTCAGAACGGCTTAGAACGGCGCAGGACGGCGAGAACGGCTAGAAGGCTTAGAACGGCTCAGAACGGCTTAGAATGGCTTAGGACGGCACAGGACGGCTCAGAATGATTCAGGACAACTCAAACGGCTCAGAACGGCTTAGAACGGTGCGGGATAGCTCAGAACACCTCAGAACCAACGAGGACAATCAT